TACTCAACAGCGTCCGTCTCCAACGCAATACCGCCGGGTACTCAACAGATTCCGTGTCCAACGCAACACCCAGTATTCAACAGCATCCCGCTGCAAGAGAGAACCCTTTGGAGTTCTACTAAGACCCCGACCCGCCCGCCCGCCCTCCGCCCGCCGCCCTCCGCCCGCCGCCCGCCGCCCGCCGTGCTTCCGTGTTCAGCACGACACATCACCGTTTCCAGCACAACGCCCACTATTCAGCAGTCTCCGTCTCCAGCACAACACCCAGTACTCAACAGCATCCCGCTGCAAGAGAGAACCCTTAGGAGTTCTGCTCAAATCCCGGTCCGCCCGCCCGCCGCCCGCCCGCCCGCCGCCGGCACACCGCCGCACTGAATGGTATTCGAATGGTCTTCAGCCCATCCCGCCACCGTGCCTGGGCTGTGGGTATGAAGCCTATGGAATGTTCGTTGGGATCTCGTGGGATGCTTCTCGGGGGCCGTCTTGGAGGCAGTTCGGAGGCCTCTCGGGGGGCGTTTTGGGGCCTCTTGGGCCTCTTTGGGATCTCTGGGGGGCCTCTTGAGAGCCTCTTGAGGGCCTCTTGGGGCCTCCTGGGCGCCTCTTGGGTTTTCCTGGAGGCCTCTTGGGTCGGAAGGCTCGAATGTTCGGTTCGTGTTCCCTCTCTTGGGCCCCTTTTGGAGCTGTCTTGGCGCCCTCTTGGGCCGTCTTGGGCGCCTCTTGTTGGGCCGTCTTGGGGCCTTCTTGGGCCGTTTAGGGGCCCTCTTGGAGGCCTCTTGGGCCGTCTTGGGGCGGTCTTGGGGGCCTCGAGGGCCGTCTGGGAGCGTCGGGAAGCCGAGAAGTCGAGAACGCCACACAATCTTTCAAACACATAAGACAAATTCCTTGATTGGGGCCTCTTGGGGCCCTCTGGGGAGGCCTCTTGGAGGCATCTGGCAGCGTCTTGGGGGCTTTTTGGGCCGTCTTGAAGCCATGTTGGACGACTTGGAACGATTTGTGGACGTCTCGGGGCCCTCTTGGACCGTCTCGGAGGGTTCTTGGGGCCCTCTCGGCCCGTCTTGGAGTCCCCTCGGGGCCGAAAAAGTCACGCGACAAGACGCGGGAAGCCCCAGGGGAACGGCGGCAAGGCCCTAGAGATTTGGCCATTTCGGCTCGGGTCCCCTTAAAGACTCCTCAGGAGTGAGGACTGCGGCTTAGAGGGTAGTGAAAGGACCTGATGGCACGCCCGCTCCGTGCCCAGCGGCACGATGGCGGATTGTTTTTAATTGCGGGGCCCTAGAACCTTCGAACAATTGAAGGAAAAAACAAAACAACAAAGACAGAACAAAAAAAACTAGTTTAGTTTTTTGGGGGGGTCCCCCCCGGAGAATCCGGGAGCTTGGGCTGGCCAGAGATACCCGAAAAACACCCAAAATCCAAAGTTTTAATTGTTGCTCGAGGGTTTCTCCCCCCGAGAACCCTGGGGCCTGGGCTGGCCAGAAAAAGAAAACTCCCGGAAAAACTCCGAGTTGGAGGGTTTTTCGGTGGTGTCACGGGTGATTTTCAGAAGTAGCCTTGTTTTTACGCGTGGGGCCTCAGAACCCCTCAAAAAAACCGACACCACCCCGGAGTCGGGTGGTTTTTCTTGAGTTTCCTGGGGGGGGTCAGAAATAGGTATGTTTTTTTTTAATGTGGTGCCCCAGAACCCTTGGAAAAAACACAGGAAAACCCGAGTTGGGAGGTGTTTCCGGGGATATCCGATTGGTTTTCAAAGATATTGGTGGTTTAAAGTGTGGGACCCAGAACTCCCGAAAAATCTCCGAGTTGGGAGTTGTTTGCAAGTTTTCCGGGGGGGGTCAGAACTAGTCTTCTTCTTCTTAAGTATGGGGCCCCCGAACCCCTGAAAAGCAACCGAAACAATATTGAGTTTGGGGATTGTTCGGAAGTTCCCCCGGAGATTTTCAGAAAAAAAAATGTTTTTTATTTTGGTGCCCCCGAAACCCTGGAAAAAACACAGGAAAACCGATGGGTTTTCAGAAATAATGGTTTGTTTTCCATTGTGGGGCCCCAGAACCCCCGAAAACCACCCGAAAAATCTCCGATCTGGGAGGGTTGTCATTGGTTGTTGTAAGGGTTTCAGAAATAATTATGTTTGTTTTTCCATATTGCTCCCCAGAAACCCAGGAAGAAAAAAAAAAAAAAAAAAAAAAAAAAAAAAAAAAACGAGCTGGGAGGTTTTACGGGGGTGGTCCAAGGCGGTTCCAGAGGTAGTCTTGCTTTCCATTATGGAGCCCAAGAATTTCTTGACAAACAAAAAAAAGAAGATTGACGCTCGAGTTGCGAAGTGTTCTTTATGTTTTCCGCGGGGTATTCAGAAATAAGATTGTCTTTAGTGTGGGACCCCAGAACCCCCGAAAAAACGCCGAGTTGGGGGGTTGTTCGGGGGTTTTCCGGGGGGGGGTCAGAAATACGTTTGTTTTTGAATGTGGAGCCCCAGAACCCCCGAAAAAAATCGAACTAAACCCGAGTTGGAGGGTTCTTCTGAGGTTGTCATCCCCAGAAGAACACCGAAAAACCAAGGAAACATGTTCCAGAAACCATCGAGAAAAAATACAACAACAACAACAAAAGTGTTTCCTTCGTTTGTTTTCCCCCCGGAAAACTTGAAAAACAAATTCGAAAACCCCCGAGTTGGGTTTTTTGTTTCTGAGGTTTTCCGGGCAGCTTTCAAAAATAGCATTGTTTTTTTGAGCTCGAGAACACCCGAAAAATTTCGAGTGGGGGGGGGGTCGGGGGTTTTCCCCCTGGGGGGGGAACAAAAAAAAAGAATTGTTCGAAAAACTCCCGACAAAAACCCGATAACAAAAAAACGATTTGGAGGATTCCAGGGCTGGCTAGCCCGAATTGCGATTTCAGGGGGTTTGCCCGATCACGCCCGAAAGAACCCAGAAAAGAAAAGAGAAAAACGTTGTTCCCCAATCAAAGTTTGCTTCTGGAGGGGTCCTGGCGGTTTCATATGGTTAGGTGAGGTGTGCCGCCGATTTCGGTGGCCGGGCGGGGTGACTGGGAGCCCCGTAGCCCTATATATATATATATATATATATATATATATATGTATATATAGCCCTATAGCCATATAGCCCCATAGCCCCAATAACCCGATAGCCCTATAGCCCAATAGCCATATGGCACTCTAGCCCTATAATCTCATAGCCCTATAGCCCCATAGCCGTATAGCCTTATAGCCCCATAGCCCTATAGCCCTAAATTGCAGTGGGGGGTTTGCCCGAATTGCGATTTGAGGGGGTTTGCTCGATCACTCCCGAAAGAACCCAGAAGGAAAAACAAAAAAAAAAATGTTTCGGGTGTTGTTCAAGGGTATTGATGTTTTTGCTTTTCCAGAGATTCTATTGTTTTCAAGTATCGGGCCCCGGAAACTCACAAAAAAAATCAAGATCCCCCCGCCGCGCACCCCCCCGGGATCGGAGGGAAAAAACGAAACAAAAAACACTTCGGGGGTGGGGGGTCGGAAGTTCCCAAGGGGACTCCCACACCGGTCTCATGAGGAAGGATGAGAAGGCAGGGATGAGTCGGAGTCGAATTTGGAAGGACATGGAGGAGGTAATGGAAGAAGGAGGAGGAGGAAGAGGAAGAGGAAGAGGAGGAGGAGAGAGGAGAGAAGAGAGAGGAGAGAGAAGAGAGGAGAGAGGAGAGAGGAGGAGGGATGGGAGGACGACGAGGAGGACGAGGAGGAGGACGGAGCTATTGGAGGGAGGTCGCCTGGTCTTTCTTGGTTTGCACAGAGGCAAGCATCTGGAACGATCGCGACCGTCGGCGTGGGCCCGAGCGGGCCCTGCGCTCCTCGTCCGGCAGCGCGGGGCTGGGCGCGGCGCCGGCCCTGGAGGAGGCCGGCCGTGCCTGGCGCGGGTCTGCCTCCTGCACTCGGAGGGAGGCCAGCCGAGGCAGCGGCGGGCCCCTGGACTCCCTGGCGACATGCCTGGCATCGCTCGGACCAGTGAGGAGCATCGAGGACCATCGAGGAGCACCGTGGCTGAAGTCGGGCATGTCCCTCCACAGGAGGAAGACCCAGGAATGGTCCAGAAATGGTCCTCGGACGATGGTGCAAGTACTGTCCGAAGACTCTCTGGACGCTATCTGGTGCCTTTCATCCTTCTTCCAAACTCTGCCTGCAGGAGGGCATGCCCGACCTGAATCTTGGCGCCTCCCCGGGAGAAGGCAGCGCGCGAGGCGCGGAAGTGTGCCCCCGGGGAGTGGAGGCCCGAGCGACGGCAAGAGGCGCGGCCGGGGGCGCGGGGGGGAGGGGATTGGGGGGAGGGAGGGGGCCGGTCACGTCAGGAGGAGGAGGAGGAGGAGGAGGAGGAGGAGGTGGCAAGAGGCGCGACGGGGGGCGAGGGGGAGGGGATGGGGGGGGAAGGGGCCGGCCACGTCACCATCCGCGACAGCGCCGTCTGGGAAGGCTCCAAAGGGGGGTTTGGGGGAGGGGGCTTTCCAGGAGGGGTCCCCCAGGAGCTTCGCACCCCCTTGTTTCGACGAGGTTCTGAGGGCCCTGGGGGGCTCTCTGGAAAACCCCCTCCCAAAAACAACCCTTTGGAACCCTCTGGGTCTGGGAAGGCTCAGGAGTGATTCCCAGAAGGCGCCGGCGCGAATCGTGGCGCGACCAGGGGTGGGGGACAGGCGATCGCAAGCACGGATCAGGGGGGCGTGGATCAGCGACGGGTCCCGCTTCCATGGAAAATCGCGGATTTCCGCCGCCGAACGGGGCGGCACTGGTCGCATTTTGGGGAGGGCACCTCCCCCGATCCATGGATTTGGCGACCGCGCGCCAAATCCATGGATCGCTAATCCATGTTTGCGCGCCCCCGAGAGAGCTGCCGTTGCCTCGATTGGCCCTCCTGCGACCCTCCTGCCCCATGGTGCGATGCAGTCGGGTCTGAGTAGTAGGTCGACCAGAGAAAAAGCAAGGATATCCCTGTGCCTGGTCCGGCGCGTCGCACGCCCTCTTCATGTCTGGAGGGCGAGGTGCCATTGGAAGCGTCCCGTGTGCTCTCGTGTCTTTCTGCGGTCAGTCGGTGCCTGCTGGTGCGCGCAGGGGGCAGGGGCATGCAGGGCAAGTTGGAGCGAGCAGTGGAAAGTCTGTCGTGGCCATCTCGGCCCCGGCCAGTTCGGTCGTGCGCCCGTGGACAAGACATGCACGTGCATTCTTCACGCATTTCACGCCCCGTCCTTTCCTCTCTCTCCCTCTCTGCCTCCTCTGGGAGGCCTGGGATTCATTGTCGGGGCACGCGAGCGGCATTGTTCCCCTCCCCCTCTGCCTCTTCCTCACCCCCTCATCTGGCGTCCTGGTCGTCGTCCTCCTCATCTTCCTCCTCATCATTCTCCCCCCCTCGCCTCCTCCTCCCCCTCCCTTCACAGAACGATGGTTCGGCTGGTGGGAAATCGCGTTGTCTCAAGATCTGATTGGGCCTCTCCGAGAAGTCTGGGTGGAAGTGTGTATACAGAGCGACAAGCTGCTGGAAGCGGATCAATCAATGCCAAGAAATATAGATTGGAAGCATGTGGGGTGAAGGGCGTCATCGCCGTGGACGTTGACATCGCCGCACGAGCGTGGTGCGACCGGGCAGAGTGAACTGAGACGAGCAGGACGAGGAGACGGATGGATGCATTAGCCGTGGTGGTGGGTGTGGGCGAGCGAGCGAGAAGATTACGAGTATGACGGGGGAGCATGAGCGGGAGGCAGACGAGCGGCGCAAAAAAACGGGGTCGTCTGCGCCGACATTGGAGCGTGAGTTGCCCGCGTAAGGTCGCGCGTAAACGCCCTCGCTTGCAGCGTAGCGTGCCGCGCTGGCGGCCCATGCAAGCTGCGGCGTTAGGTCGCTGTGTCATCACGCGTAGGACCAGTTTTTGATCGTCGCTCAGATATTTTTCTTGAGCACGCACCTTCTGGCGCTTTCCCCTTCCTCCTGCCGCGGCCCGCGGCTGCTTCCGCCCCCGCCGCCCGCTCCTGTTGCCGATCCTGGCCGCCCATTTTGCTGCCGTTGCGGCCTGCGCTGCTGAGACAACAACATCATAACCTCAGCTGCCTCGATACGCCCGTTGTGAGACGCAACACGTACCGTGTTCGAAATATCCGTGTTAACACGCTGCGTGTTGGCTCGGCGTGGTGGCTCACGTTTGGCGAGCGTATCGCGGCAGACCTACGTTTTCAATCTACGCGTTGAGCTCCGTGTCAACACGCTGCGTGCTGCGTGTTGCGTATCGGTGCAGCTTGGCTCATGACTGGATTCCCCCCGTCGGGGTTTTCCCCAGAGCTGGAATGGACCCTCCCACCCCACAAAAAAGGGTGCGTTCAGAGGTATGCAGGGCCAGTGCGAGGAAGAGGGAGAAGCGCATGAAGGTCAGGTCGGCCTCTTAGATCAAGCTGTCGTGGGATGGTTCTTGTTGCGGTTGTTGAATTCCTATCTCTGAAGAAACATTATTGCTGATCCCTTCTCTACCTTTGCACATGGTGGCTTTCAATTGGAGTAACTGGCGCTTTGGGGCTCGCACTCCCCTGGCTTACAACAACAGCAGAAGCACAGCATGTTGATACTGTTCCTTCTCATTTGCTCGCGTTCCATTCAGCATGGAAATCCCCAACCTTGAATACCCACCCTCTTCGTCTTCGATCGTATACAGTGCCGTTTGTATACATGCTCCGCGTGCGGATCATGTTTTAAAAATGCAGGGATGTAGCATTAAAGACAACGATGAATTCGTGCATAAATCGATTCATAAATGAATCATGTATTAAAAATCCTGTATGCTTAAAAATCCCATGTATCAAAAACTGCCCTGTAGGCCATGTGCTCAAGTAAGGACCATTTTGGGGCCCAGGAGGGGCAATGACTTTCGGGCCGTTCCTCGGGTCGAGGTCGGGAAATGCATTCCTCAGGTCGTTCCTCAGGTCGTTCCTCAGGTCGAGGTCGTTCCTCAGGTCGAGGTCGAGGTCGGGGAATGCACTCTCGGGGCCGAGGTCGGGGAATGCACTCTCGGGGCCGAGGCCCGCCGTGGCCAGGACAAGACCCCCTTCGTTCCCTGCGTCGGCGGCGAGCGAGGGGAAGGAACTGAGAAGGAGAAGGCCTTCTCAGAAGGCGGCGGGACTTCTGAGAAGGAGAAGGCGAAGGCCTTCGCAGAAGGAGAAGGCCTTCTCAGAAGGCCTGAGAAGGCCTTCTCGGAAGGCCTTCTCAGGAGAAGGCCTTCTCAGAAGCCCTCGCGCCTTCTGAGAAGTCGTTTCTGTCTTCGGGGGAAGGCTCAGAAACAACTTCTCAGAAGTCCGGGGGACGTCCGAGCGTTCTGAGAAGGCACGCCCCTTCTCACTTCCCCCCGTGGCTCGCCGCCTATTGCGTGGTTTTCTTTCTGGCAGTGCCATGCCTGTGTACCTTCCTTGGGTATCTCTGCCCGACGTATGCGACCACCCGTCGGGTGGCAAGGAAGTTCGGGGGGGGAGGAAACATCGCCTCACTCAATCGATCCCGCTATCGATCTGTCGATCTCACTATCGACCTCATTATCGACCGCACCATCGATTTCACGATCGGTCTCACTATCGATTTCATGATCGATCACGCTATCGATCACACTTTCGACCTCACTATCGATCTCACTATCGGTCCCACTAGCGAACTCACTATCAGTCTCACGGTCGATCTCATTACGGGAAATTGATGGGACACCGACAGGACATCATTATCATTTTTATTATCGATCTCACGATCGACCGCACTATCGATCTCACCAACGATCTCATTATCGATCTCACTGCCGATCTCACTATCGATCTCACCACGGGACACCGACGGGACACCCACGCTTCACCACAGGACACCACGGGACACCATCGGGACACCACGGCGGGACACCGCCCGGCAATGCCAGCCAACCCGGGCGGAGTCTTTCGGCCCAGAGGCGCCCTAGCCAGCGGAGGGTTCATTCTTGTCGCCCGCCCATGCAGCTTCGCCTCGCTGGCACGCACGACACGAACACGAAACCGAAAACGAAAACGATTTTCCAGCGGGGGCTTTGTTTTACTGCAATCTCACCCTTTCACCTCCGACCTGCCACGCGTAGTTGGCGCAGCCCCTTAACACAGGGGAAGGGAGGGAGGAGGGAACGGACAAGGGGGAGGCAGAAGGATGGAGAATGAGAGAGATTAGCAGGAGGAGGGTTCGTAGGAGGAAAATAAGCGGCAGAACCGGACGGGCGCGTCGAGCGGCCAAACCCTAACGGGCGGGTCGGGCGGGCGGACCCAGACAGGCGGGTCGGGCGGGTGGGGAAATTAAATTGAAAAAAAGAAGGTGCACCAGAAGGGGAGTATCAAGAGTAATTCCCCGTTGGGAGGGAACGTTGCACGACAACAACAACAACAACAACAACAACAACAACAACAACAACAACAACAGCAACAACAACAACAACACCAACCACAACCACAACCACAACCACAACCACAACAACAACAACAGCAACAGCAACAGCAACAGCAACAGCAACAATAAGACTCGCTCCGATCTGCTCACGTGCCAATCAATACGTATATCCCAAACTCTCGGTACCGCCCTCGTCGTCTTCGATCGTACCCCCTTTTGGGGTATATCTTCCTTACCTGCCACACGCATTTAGTGCAGCCCCTAAAACAAGGGAAGAGGACGGGTGGAAGAAGAATGGAGCATGAGAGAAGTTAGCAGGGGGGGGGGCAAGGAGCAGAAAACAAGTGGTAGAACCAGACGGGCGATCGGGTGGGCAGACCCATAGCGGGCAGGTCGGGCAGGCGGGCCCAGGCGACGAGGTCGAGCAGGCGGGTTGCTGAAGCGTGGGTCCTGCATGAGTCGCGAGCAAGGTTCGAGCGATAGCGCGATTCCCAAGTAAATCGCAGGAAAAGCCCAAGCGAGAGCGTGATTCCTGAATGCCGAGGGCACCATCTGAATAAACTGCGATGGAGTCCCCCGCGAGATCGCGATGCGTACATGACTTGTGGGAAAGTCCCGCGCGAGGACGCCCCAAGAGGCCACAGGCTCATGCGCAAACGCGCGGTCGTACTACTGAGACTCATTTGCACTCCAACTCCTTAACACTTAGACTCACTCCCAGGCCGTCACTACTCAAGCCCGTGAATACTCGAAAACTCTTGCGCCTAGACACGGCGGGCAGGTCCATGCCAATAAATTCACATATGGGGAGCTTCATGCAGTGAGTAAGTATGATTACGTAAACGCTTCCTACTCTTCTTCTCGTTATCCTCCTTTTTTCCTCGTCCCATCCTCCTTAGATTCCCTCGTACTCAGATTTGCTCAGACTTCGAGATGATGATGATGATGATGATGATGATGATGATGATGATGATGATGATGATGATGATGATGATGATGATGATGATGGTGATGGTGATTGTGATGGTGATGGAAATTGTGATGGTGATGGTGATGGTTATGGTGGTGGTGATGGTGATGATGATGGTGATGGTGATGGTGATGGTGATGATGATGATGATGATGATGATGATGATGGTAATGATGATGATGATGATGATGATGATGATGATGATGATGATGATGATGATGGTGATGGTGATGATGATGATGGTGGTGATGATGATGATGATGACGGTGATGATGATGATGATGATGATGATGATGATGATGATGATGATGATGATGATGATGATGATGATGATGATGATGATGATGATGATGATGATGATGATGATGATGATGATGATGATGATGATGATGATGATGATGATGATGATGATGATGGTGGTGGTGGTGGTGGTGGTGGTGATGGTGATGGTGATGGTGATGATGATGATGATGATGATGATGAGATGAGATGAGATGAGATGAGATGATCCACGCGTCTAAAGAGATCAGGAGCTCCTAGCTCGTACTGCCCCTCAGACCGAAGCGTTTCCCTCTGGCCATGCGGCGGCAACGCTCGGTCTCGTGCGCATCAGCGCACCCTCGCAGCTTCACCTGAGTGCCAAGAGGCCGCCCACCGCCCCAGCCGAAGCAAGCGGTAGTACGGTATCCGAGCAGTCATGGCGACTCAGCCCGCTACAGCAGCGCACACGCGCCAAAGCAGAGCACTACAGGCCCCATGGCTCCTGGCCGCCCACTGAACAACCTTGCTCTGCGATGGCGGTCGGAGGCGATCCAGAGAGTCGGTAGCAAGCCACCTACCCCCTCGGTTCGGCCTCCGCCCTAGCGCGAGAACAGTGCACAAGACAGGCGGGCTGGTCCGCAGCAAAGCTGCAGAACGCAAGCGCCACTTGACGTGCCAAACGGCACGGACAGAGCAGCGCAGCGAGCCCAGGAGGGGCTGGAGTGAGTGAACCCTGACGTGTGCCGAGCCCCGAGGGGTACGGCCTACGCCACGGGGTCCTTCTCCCCTTGAAGCTCGCAAGTTCGTCGCAGGCATTCGTGGTCCTCGGACCCGCCTGGCGCCACGAGCACACGGCACCGCGCTCGGCAGACCGATGGGTCCCGAGCCGCAGGGTGCCACAACTACAGTAAGGCAGATGCCGCGCGAGCGCGGCAGAAGAAATGTGAGAAAGTTGTCGGGACAGATCGCGCCCGTCAGCGCCTGCCGCGCGCCTCGCGGGCCGCGCGCAGCTTGGCGCCCAAGGCGGCGCGAACCCCAGCCATCAGCCCGTTGTATCTGGCCCCAGCGCCACGAGCTCCGCCCGCTCCGAAGGGAACTGCTGCTGCTCCTCGGGCTGCTCGGAGCCGCGCTGCTGGAGGACGTCGGACTGCTGCTCGGAGACCGCCTGGGTGTCCACGCGCATCGGCGTCTCGGCGAGAGCGGGCTCCGATGCAGCTTTGTCTTGGGCCTCCGACTCCTGCTCCTGGACCCGCTGGGAGTCCGCCCACGTGCACTCCTCCTCGAAGTGCACCTCCCTCGTGGGGCCCGCGGAGCCGATCCCGACCTTCTCCTGGAGGTCCTGCTGTGCAACACCTGGCTGCATGCGCCCGTCGTGCTTGACAGCGTACTCCGATGGGTCGCTGCCAAGAGGCTCATCATCTGCAGCCTCATCATCATCGGCCGAGTCCCTCTCGCACTCCATCCCCTTCACCGCCGTGGTCGGCGGGCAGGCGCTGGGTGCCTTCGGGCCGCCATCCCGCCCGAGCTCCTCCAGCCTCCACTGCCACCACTGCGCGCCAGAGGCGAGGGGTGGAGGAACCGCCCCAGGCGCCGACCGCACACGATCCGCCAGGACGAAGGCAGTGCCGCGGATCGCGGCCCTCCCCCGCCTCGCAGCCGTTCTCCACGCTGTGCACGTGGCGGGCTCGGCTGCCTCCGTCGCCTTGGGTGCCCGTGCGCTCGCCGGTACGGCGGTCGACGCCGTCGGTCCTTCCCGCGTGGGCCGACGGCCGCGCCTCCGCCGCCGCCTGACCGACTCTGGTTTGGCGGGGCTCGACGCCGCGCCAACGCCAGCGCCCAGGTTCGCGTCCGTGCACTCCTCGTACTCGCCCTCGTCCTGCACATCGCTCGGCCCGTCGTGCTGGGTGCCGAGGGGCGCCTGCACCTCGCCCGAGCCGAGACCGTCCTCGCCCGTGCAGGCGTCGCCGAGGGTGTCGTCGTCGACGTGCCTGGAATCATCGTCCTGCGCTCCGTCGCCAGCGCAATCGCCGAGCTCGGGCTTGGACTCGAACCTGACCTCATCGGGCCCGCGATCGCTGTCGTAGCCCTCGAGCTCGTCGTCGCCGACGCCGTGCCTGATCTCGTACTGGTTGTGCAGCCGCACGTGCTGCTGCTCGTCCACGTGCTGCTGGTGCCCGCCGTCGTCGCTCTTCGCATCGCCGTTGTAGCCGCACTCGTCTGTGGGCGGCGCCATGCTGCGGCGCCTCGCCTCCAGGCTAGGTCGCCATCCCGCCCCAGGAGGAGGACGGCTTACAGTGCCGTTTTTAATACATGCTCCGCGTACGGATCATGTATTAAAAATGCAGGGATTTAGTATTAAAAACAACGATGCGTTCATGCATGATTTTATTCAAAAATTGATCATGCATTAAAAACCTTACATTTATAGATATATATATATACACACACAAAATCCTATGTATTAGAAACTGCCCTGCAGAGCCCCCAGGTCCTTTGGGGGGAGGGCGCCAGGCCGCCCACGGCGCTGGCTGGCCTGCGGCCGCTCGTGCGCGGGCCTTGAGGACCTCGGCGCCTTCACCGAGGAAGGCGAGATGCCGCCTCGCCCGCTCGGCGCCCGAAGCCCTCTCGCCGCGGATCGTGCGCGCCAGGGCTGGCCTGATGACCCGAAGCCGCAGGGCGAGCTCGGCGTCCTCCTCGTCGCCAGCTCCAGCTGCAGCCAAGCCCCCGATCAGCTCAGCTCCGACGCGCGCCGCGGCGGCCACGGCGGCCGTGATGCCGTGCCTCGCAGCGCCCCCCGCTGCCGCGCCTTCGGCTGCCACTCGAACCAGCGGCGCCAGGGCGGCAGCAGCGTCCAGCGCCGCGACTGCCATGAATGTCCGAACAGCGCGGGGCTCGAACGGGCCAACTGAGGAGGAAATAGCCCGAACAGCGCGAAGCTCGAACGGGGAAACCGCTGCCACACCAGCGTGGCTCTTTGAGCCAAAATGGCTACGGATGACCATGATGATGATGATGATGATGATGCTGATGTTGATGATGATGATGATGATGATGATGATGATGAGGAGGAGGAGGAGGAGGAGGAGGATGAGGATGGGGATGAGGATGAGGATGAGGATGAGGATGAGGACGAGGAGGAGGAGGATGCTGATGCTGATGCTGATGCTGATGCTGATGCTGATGCTGATGCTGATGCTGATGCTGATGCTGATGCTGGTGCTGGTGCTGGTGCTGATGCTGATGCTGATGCTGGTGCTGGTGCTGGTGCTGGTGCTGGTGCTGGTGCTGGTGCTGGTGCTGGTGCTGGTGCTGGTGCTGGTGCTGGTGTTGGTGCTTGTGCTGGTGCTGGTGCTGGTGCTGATGCTGATACTGATGCTGATGCTGATGCTGATGCTGATGCTGATGCTGATGCTGATGCTGATGCTGATGCTGATGCTGATGCTGATGCTGATGCTGATGATGATGATGATGATGATGATGATGATGATGATGATGATGGTGATGGTGATGTGATGGTGATGGTGATGATGGGATGGATGGTGATGGTGATTATGATGATGATGACGATGATGATGATGATGACGATGATGATGACGATGATGACGATGACGATGACGATGACGATGACGATGACGATGATGATGATGATGATGATGATGATGATGATGATGATGATGATGATGATGATGATGACGATGACGATGACAATGACGATGATGATGATGATGATGATGATGATATGATGATGATGATGATGATGATGATGATGATGATGATGATGATGATGATGATGATGATGATGATGATGATGATGATGATGATGATGATGATGATGATGATGATGATGGTGATGGCGGAGCAAGTTCTGAGGATGTCTCGAGCGAGGCGCGGGCTCCAGCACCACCAAGGGGGAGCCGCCGACAGGGGGTATTGCACTCTTCCGTTCGCGCCAAAATTGCGGGGATGTCTCGAGCGGTGTGCGTGTTTCCTGGCCCAACAAACATACTCCGTTGTCGGAGCAGATGTGGATGTCTCGAGCGAGGCTTTCACTGTCGCCCCCAAGTGGTGCAAGATTTTGAGGATGTCTCGATCGGGTTGCCTGTGTGGGTGGCCAGACTCGTGGGCACGGATCCTCCCCAGGATGGCACAGGACGCTCCAGCAGGCTCCAGGAGGCCCCGGGAGGCAACAGGAGGTTCCAGGAGGCTCCAGGATGCTCCAGAAGGCCCCAAGAGGCCACAGGAGGCCCCCGTAGGCCACAGGAAGCGCCAGGAGGCACCAGGAGGCCATGGAGGCACCAGGAGGCCCCAAAAGGCCCCAGGAGCAGGAGGCCTCAAAGGGCCACATCAGTGGCTCCAATCCAACGTGTTGTACGTATGCTCCTATAGATTGGGACCCACCTGGGGCACGAATCCTTGTTGTTGTTTTTACGTATGCTTCTAAAATGTGTCCTTCACCTGCGCATCTAATTCTAAGCGTTTTACGTATGTTATTGTACATGCGGCCTCCCCTAAGGCACGAGTCCTTGGTGTTTTAGGTGTGTTCCTATAGACTGCCTTTCTCTTGTGGCTAAAATCCGCAGTGTCTTATGTACGTCTGTTCCTATATATTGGGCCTCTCCTGGGGCACGAACACTCCCCAGGAGGCCCCAGGAAGCCCCAGGAGGTTTCAGGATGCCCCGGGACGCGCCAGGCTCATGCGCAGAGACGCGCTCGCACTACTGAGACTCACTCACATTCCAATTCATTCACAGTTAGAGCCACCCCCAGACCGTCAACACTCAAGCCCGATTATACTCGAAGACTCCTTGCGCCTAGACACACGGCGGACAGGTCCATGCTAATAGATGCACATATGGGAAGCTCCACGAAGTGAATAATTTGTGTCTCCCTCGGCCCTTCTCATCCACTACACGTGAGGGTGACCCTTCGCTGGAGCGACCTCTGGTGCGGGCCCATTCGGGCCCCCCGATCGCCGAACGCGACGCGGCAGTAGCGCCTTGCGCGCCTTGCCCCCCCGCGGCCCCCAAAACGCCGCGCACCAAAGGTCACTGTTACCGAGGGTCACTCTTGTCGGCCACGCGCAGAGGGGGGAGGGGGAGGAGGGAAGGCTTCTTAGAAGCACATCCCGGGCCTCGCCTGTAGATGCAAGGCTGGCGCCGTCTAAGAAACAACCTCCTTCTAAGAAGTTGTCCCCCTCCATCCCCCCTCCCCACCCCCTGGTGCGCGCCGCCAGTCTTGCGTGCAGTCGGTCTCGGGAGCAGGAGCAGGAGGAGCAGGAGCAGGAGGAGAAGGAGGAAGAGGAGGAGGAGGAGGAGAGGGAAGGAGGAGGAGGAGGAGGAGGAGGAGGAGGAGGAGGAGAGGGAAGGAGGAGGAGGAGGAGGAGGAGGAGGAGGAGGAGGCCCGCGAGGAGGCCCGCGCGCCGCGCGAAGCCCGCGTGGGCCCCGGGTGACCAGGCGCGCGGTCGCGACCCCCGAGGGGCGCCAGCAGAGCGGCGTGGGCTGCAGGAGCTCCTGCGACGGCGCGGGGGGCAGGGGCAACGTTGCCAGACCCCCTCGAGTCATGAAAAAATCACGACGGAAGGTTTTTCTAGATTTTCCGCCTCTGGGGGCCCTCACCGGCCCTCGGGACCGTAAAAAAATAACTCAGGATGAAAAACCGGTCCCGGCGAATAGGTCCGGACCTCTGGGTAGCCGAGGCTTACCCTGACTCCAGATCCGCCCTGCTTTGGCTTTTTTTTTCCGACTTAACACTGCGTCGGAAATCCACTTATGAGAAGCCGAAAAAGTAGGGCGGAAATTTCTGCACCCAACATAAAATAGCGCGAAAATCCACAGAAGTAGGGCGGAAACAACAACAGAAAAGTAGGACGGAAATTGGCATCAGCGGGGCTTGAAAAGTAAGGCGGAAATTCCAAGCCCTACTTACGAATTTCCCCAAAGTAGGGCGGATCCGGAGTCGGGGTAACGTCCCAGGACGTCGTCGCAACAGTCAGAATACGGTTCTCGCCTCAACGCCGCGCACATTCGTCCCAAAAGTTCGCAGGGGGTCCATGGATCCTTACAGTTGACGTCCCAGAGATGGTGTTCTGGCACGATTTAGCATTGTCAGGGCGCGGCAGTGACGTTGCTTCGCGTCGCTGACGTCCCAGAAATAGTGTTCTAGCACGATTCAGGATCGTCAGGTCACAACAGTGACGTTGATTCGCGGCGTTGAAGTCCCAGGAATGATGCTTTGGCACGGTTGAGGATTTTCAGATGTTTGTCTTCCAACGGGGCTCTTCGCGCAGCGAACCAGGAACACTACAGGAGCCTACGAAGAGGGAACTCAGAGGGAGGGCTTATTACTGCAACATCGCTGACACAGCTTGAGTTTGCACTGGTCCTCCGCCTCCTCCTCCTCCTGCCCCGCGTCGACTACCTTGGTCGGCGAGGGAGAGTACCGCGGCAGCGGCGCGCGGGCTCCTCCCCGTTCTCCTCCTTCCTCCGCAGTCGGCATTAGGAGGCGACGATAGGGGCGAATAGCCCAGGGGCGGGCGTTACCGCCGCGGTGGAGCAGTAGGTCGACCCTGCCAAATCAAGGGTACCCTTGTGTCCTGCGTTTCGCGACCCACGCGTGCAGCACTCCTATGGCAATGTGGCCCTCGGAGGGGTACTGTGTCCTCGTACGTGTCCTCTCCGATCAAGCCCGACTTGTAGGGGGGATGGGCTCCAGGAAGTTTCGGCTTCGAGGTTCGAGGTTTTCTGACTTGTTCGTCAATTCTCGGTGGTTTTCTGGCCTCGGAATGCCTCGCCGATGGCGTTCCGGGAGTGCCAGATTCGTCCCGAACGGCCGCTGGAGAGCCGAGCTATGGCCTGAGAGCCCGGGGGTAACGTCGAAAGCCTTGGGACAGCGTTAGTGGCAGGAGGGTTTTTTATTTGTCCCACATGCCGCGAGAGAGATTTGGGAGGGGCAAGAGTTGTTTGCTTTTGTCCTCGCTTCTGCGTGCTGCACGCTCAGCATGCTGTGGCCGCAGCGGTCTAGGGGCGAAACGCATAGTCTTTGAAAAAGCTCCGAAGCTTGAAGCGCAGGGATCCTCATTCAAATGTGCGTTCTCAGGGGGGATGCATCCATTCCCAATCGGCCATTGATCGCCGATGGAGGCCTGATGGCCCACCCGCGGTTCGGCTGTCGAGAGGTCATCGAAGGTCTGTCGGCGATATACCGCCGATTCCAGCTCGATGTTTCCCCTCTCTGAGCCGGCCCCCCCTGACGTTGCCCCTCAGGGGTGCGGCTGATACGCGCAATGGGCGGGAGTTGCGGCAGTGATAGGATTGCGACGATTGCCCAGCTCTTGCATTGAGTCTTGATCGGCCGCGCGCCCGGGGAGAAGTGAGAAGGGGCGGGCCTTGTCCAAAGGCGGTGGGGCTCTCAGAAGTCCTCCGGCCTTCTGAGAGCCCCGTTGTGTGTGTGTGTGTGTTCGGAGAAGGCTTAGAAAACTGATCAGAAGGCCGGAGGCCTTCTGAGCCTTCTGAGAAGGCCCGCCCCCTATGCCTTCCCCTCTGGGCGAGCCGTCAACTTGCGCATGGCTGCGAGCAAGGCTTTGCAACAAGAGTACTATGTCACAGAGCTGCCGGTTTTGCAGCAGACCCGCCTATCGCAACAGCAAATTCATTGACGCAGTGAGAGCGTCGCGCAGTATCACCAAGCGTGCCTTGCGTGTGCGACAGTGCATTGCTGGCACATCCAAATCGCGACTGCACTGACACCAAGGGTTTTCTCGTTGTCCTTCCCCTCATCTTTCGCATGCGTCTCTCATTGCATGTCACCCAGGTAGGGCAGATTTCGAAGGCCACGGCACCGCCCTCCGCTGACCTTGGCTTGGCCTGGACGGTTGTCCGTAGCGGCGGTCGTTCATTCGTTCACGGTCGCACCGGTGCAATCCGTCCGAGGCCTTGAGCTGCAGTGACTCCACAAAGGGTTCTGCGGTTCGGTCCTCTCGGCTGCATCGCAGTCAGTTGCGTTCGATCGGTTCGATTCGGGCGGTTGTTGCGTTGTTGCCGCGTCGCTGCGCCGCCCTTCCTGGCTGGTTCTGGTATATTCGGTTTCGGTCGGTTTGGGTTTCTGTGTCAGTCTGGACGGTTTCCGGGGTGGCAGATAGGAAGGGGGAGGGGGGGGGAGAGGAGAAGGGAGGAAGAGGAGGCGAAGGTTGAGGTCGAGAAGGCCGAGATGGATTAGCAGGAGGAGGGAGAGGGGTGGATGACAAGCTAGGTGCGCTCGCTCCACATTTGACATCCTATCCCTCCCTCCCATCCCTTCCAATGGCATTGCTTGTTGTCCCTATCCGCGGACGCGTGTCATAGCCGACCTGGAACTCCGTTACCCCAGCAGAGCGCCCCAATCGCAGCAAAGGTGATTTGTGGGAATTGTGGGGCAGGTGGGAATGGCGGGACTTGTGCGATCTGTGGGACTTGTGGACCTTGTGGGACTTTTGCGACCTGTGGGGCATGTGAAACTTGCGACACCTGGTGGACCTCAGGGACCTCTGTGTGACCTGTGAGGCCCGCGAGACCTGTTGGACCTGTGGCACTGGCGGGACCTGTGGGACTTGGGGAAACTGGATGGGACCTGCTAGACAGACTTGTGAGAGCTGTCGGACTTGCGGTATTCCTGGCACCTGCGGGCCGACCTGCGGCACCCATGGGTTCTGTGGGACCTGCGGGGCCTGCGAGACCTGTTGGACCTGCGAGACCTGTGGGATCCAGAAAAATGGCCCACGATTGGGCGAGAGCGCCATTCTGACCGACGGGAGCACAGGGCCGATCCGAAAATGAGGCCCACGCTGCCGCGAGAGCACCGTTTTTAAGCACCGAAAACAATCGGAATGCAAAAGCACATCGGACAAACCAGCTCGGCCCAATCCTGTGCGGATTGCCCTGCGACGTACCCAACCCTTTCTATGCATGTGGTGGTTACATTCGGGACCACTCAATGTTGACGGGCATGCTGAAAAACCCGCAGTGCGGAAGAAGAGCACCCATCAGAGAACTCAGAAGAGCGCAGCAAGAAAAGCAGCGGCAACGCGTAAGACGTACCTCTGCTGGGCCTCCCAGGAGCCCACGAAAGTGGCGACAGTTGCGCAGATCGCAGCCCCCCAGGGCGCCGCGAAGTCTCGAGGTGATCCGCGTGGGACATACCTCCGCTGGGCCTCCCAGGAGCCTACGAAAATGGCGACAGTTGCGCAGATCGCAGCCCCCAGGGCACCGCGAGGTCTCGAGGTGATCCGCGCGGGAACCACCCCCGCTGGGCCTCCCAGGAGCCCACGAAAGTGGCGACACTTGCGTAGATCGCAGCCCCCAGGGCACCGCGAGGTCTCGAGGTGATCCGCGTGGGACATACCTCCGCTGGGCCCCCCAGGAGCCCACGAAAGTGGCGACAGTTGCGCAGATCGCAGCCCCCAGGGCACCGCGAGGTCTCGAGGTGGTCAGCGTGGGACCCACCTAGGCTGGGCCTCCCAGGAGCCCACGAAAGTGGCGACAGTTGCGCAGATCGCAGCCCCCAGGGCACCACGAGGTGGTCCGCGTGGGACCCACCTCCGCTGGGCCTCCCAGGAGCCAACGAAAGTGGCGACAGTTGCGCAGATCGCAGCCCCCACGGCACCGCGAGGTCTCGAGGTGTTCCGCGTGGGACCCACCTCCGCTGGGCCTCCCAGGAGCCCACGAAAGTGGCGACAGTTGCGCAGATCGCAGCCCCCAGGGCACCGCGAGGTCTCGAGGTGGTCCGCGTGGGACCCACCTCCGCTGGGCCTCCCAGGAGCCCACGAAAGTGGCGACAGTTGCGCAGATCGCAGCCCCCAGGGCACCGCGAGGTCTCGAGGTGGTCCGCGTGGGACCCACCTCCGCTGGGCCTCCCAGGAGCCCACGAAAGTGGCGACAGTTGCATTCGCAGCACCGGACCGCAGATCTCTCGAGGTGGTCCGCGTGGGACCCACCTCCGCTGGGCCTCCCAGGAGCCCACGAAAGTGGCGACAGTTGCGCAGATCGCAGCCCCCAGGGCACCGCGAGGTCTCGAGGTGGTCCGCGTGGGACCCACCTCCGCTGGCCTCCCAGGAGCCCACGAAAGTGGCGACAGTTGCGCAGATCGCAGCCCCCAGGGCACCGCGAGGCCTCGAGGTGGTCCGCGTGGGACCCACCTCCGCTGGGCCTCCCAGGAGCCCACGAAAGTGGCGACAGTTGCACAGATCGCAGCCCCCCAGGGCGCCGCGAGGTCTCGAGGTGGTCCGCGTGGGACCCACCTCCGCTGGGCCTCCCAGGAGCCCACGAAAGTGGCAACACCTGCGCAGATCGCAGCCCCCCAGGGCACCGCGAGGTCTCGAGGTGGCCCGCGTGGGACCCACCTCCGCCGGGCCTCCCAGGAGCCCACGAAAGTGGCGACAGTTGCGCAGATCGCAGCCCGACGGCACGAGAGAAGAGGAGAGGGGAACACAGGAAACAGGAGAGGAGGAGGGGAGGAGGGGGGAGGAGGAGAAGGACGCGGTGACCACACTGCTCTATTCAAAACGAGTACCCAACCATAGGAGGGTTGGGAAAAGAAGCAGGGCGCGGATGGGGGCGGGAGATCTTCTGGACAGCTCCAGGGGGGAGAGGAGAGCCGTATTCATATTGGGTAAATGTCGAGGCGGAGGATAGCGAGAACCGGAGAGGGAGGAGAAGGGAGGAAGAAGGGAGGAGGAGGAGGAGGAGGAGGAGGAGGAGGAGGAGGAGTTGGAGGAAAGACGCTACGCCACCTCGTATGCAAAGTTCGGCCCAAAGAAAAAGGATGAGGATCACGCAGTTGCCATCGTCGCTCTGCGACCGACTGCGAGCCCTGCCCCTGCGGGTCCGGCCGACGCTGGGGGATCGGACACCCCCGCGGGGGTTCACCGGGCCGCGCGCATCCTCTGAATTCTGAGCCCCAGCCAGTTTTTCAGCAGCCTGATCTGCAAGTGCAGTCTGCGGCGCGCACATGGGGGGCAGGGGGACGGGGGAAGGCTTCTTGGAAGGAGGCTGCTTCTCAGAGGGCGCCGGCCCTACAGCTGCAGACAAGGCTCGCGCCTTCCAAGGAGCTACCTCCGTCGAAAAAGTATTCCCCCCGCTCCCTGCCCACTTGTGCGCG